TTTAGTCCAGCCTTCTTACCGCCAGCTGATGCTCGTGAATTCGCGTTTGAAGCTGCCGACCAATTTCTCCAACGTAGTTGCACATCCCGCAACTGCCCTGAAGTCGGCAGACAACGCCCGATTTTTCTTATTTCGGTATAGGGTCTTTTGGTCGCCTTACTTATTGCCGGATTGTGGCGGCGGGCCTGTGGGCTAATCCTATTCCGAGGGGCGCGAGGGATCTAGCCACGATTTCAGACACCTCTTTCATGTACGGAAAGCTCCGCCATGACTTTGGTGGGCAACGCTCCTCAGTCCGTGGTTTTGCTGTAGTTGCCATATAAATGTAGGGCTTGACGAGAATTTGTCGAAAGTACTCGTATACTTGCCAAACTGGACTTCTGAATTTACAGAAAAGTCAAAAATTATATTTTATGATAGAAAACTGTGGTGCTCAGCGCATAATTAAGTAAAAGAGCAGTGACATTTGTGATTAAATTTTCCCAACAGAATTTACGAGATCTTTTAAAGGCAACATTGAGGGTTTTGGTCAGGGCTTAATAATAACGCCATTTGAATATTAATAAGTAATAGAAAATTAAAACATGTAACCCCCGACGTCATATGTTAGTTCTATCAAGATATCAATAGATTTTCAATTTCTATATTATTTTGAGTTGTAAGCTGATAGACTATAAACATGGAGTAAATAGCAATGGCAAAGATGGTTTTATGGGTACATCTGATTGGGTATTTTAAAGACATAATTATGGATTGGCTCATAAAGTATGTAGGAATTATAAGGAAAACGAAAGGAACATAAATTACGTGTACACCTACACAAAAAGGTGAAGGTTAAGTTTTATTTATAAAATAGAACGTGTATACCCTTGGCGGACTTGTATCTCAAACTGTACTTTAAGCTCATATAAAAAGTTCAGGGTATATAAAAAATTCCGCAGAAAAACTCTAGTGATCTGAGCAGCAGAAAAAACATGGGATAACGTGCCAAAACTCTCACAGCTTTACAAAATCGCGGAACCACTTGCGTGTGCTGATAGTACGTCAGTCAATCTAGATTCATAGTAAAGCCATCAATCCAAATTCTCTTCTTCTTTTTAGCAATTAGAGGTGCAAGTATTTGTGGTATTGACCAAATGATAATAAATATAGCAATTTAGTTTACTAGTGCTTTTAATTTAAATAAAAACGAACTTCTTTTCATCAGCAGTAGTAAATACACTTACACGTTAACGACGAAGAAAAAAGAAAGAGTGCAGTGTTAAAGCAATCAGCGTACTTTATCAATATTCTGAGAAGCAGCACGTCAGACGAGCCTTTATTCTTTATTATATCATCTGGGAATGCAGAATAACTCGATTATATAGGGCCAGAAATGGCCATTCTGGTCTCTCTTTGTTTCGGCGGATCCAGTCCATCCTATTCTAGTAGCCGCTATGTGGCTGTCTGTGCGGGCTCTAGTTGTAAGCTCCAGAGCGAAACGGAAATTACTTGTTCCACTACCAGATCGGC